CATAGCTTTTCTCTAAGTACAAGATACAGGTTTGCAATACAGAGTCAGTTGATTCAAACGGTGGTGAAAAAGTCAATCTATCAAACAATGTGGCCTGTTTTCCCTGCAATGGATAATTTGGTATCAAATCATGCAAATACGTCAGTAATCTCAGGTCTTTCATCGCCTCCTCCCACCATCACATGCTACCAGCAAAACACTCTGAATTCCTTTGAAAGTATTATTATATAAAACAAGAAATTGCTTATTAATAGAATAAATCCAAATTATGAGACTAAAGCTGTTACCATACAGCAGACTAGAGAGAAAACTGTGTTAAATTGTTTATTTTTACTTCATTCCAGTACCTTTATTAAAGCTGCCTTGTTGTGTTCTATATCACAGGGTGGCTCTGGTTCATAATGGGATGTTGTTGTACTTGGATAAGACTGTTTATCCCTGTCATTGATTTTAGTGGCTGCACTTCCTTTAAAAACTACTTATTCTTGCATTGTACTACATGTATCTTGTTTAATATGTATAATTTTTAAAATTCAGTGTTTGAAACTTTGAAAAACAGACCTTGTACATATGGTACAACAGCTTGACCTAAATGTTCAACTTTCTTCTACACTACTACATATATCATATTTTTAAGCCTTATCTTGAAAATAGGAGTTTGATGATTTATTTTAGAAATATTAAGTAATAGAAACTTCAGGGTAAAAATGGGGGAAAGAACCAGATACCAGGCTGTCCCTTACTGCATAACAAAATGAACCACCCTCCCATCTTCTCAAAGGATGGGGGTGGAGAACAAGCCAAGAATTCAAGAAAAAAACAGTCTTATGCCATTCTATGATATAACTAACCTTTTATATATCCAAGGAGAGAAAACACAAGATGCTAGTAAAGAGTATTGCATTTCTAAATGTGCTCTCATTGCCCCCAACTTCCCCCCCAGTAAAAAAAAAAAAAGAAAAACAAAAGAGTCATAGATAATACTACATCCTTAATTATACCCTCAAATCCAGAGAAAAGCAGCCTAAGAAACTGAATAGGAAATCAGGGGGAAAATAAGTGAAAACTCCAAAGAACAGAAGCCTGGAGGACTGCTAATGGATCTGAGGAGAGAAAGAAAAGGTAGGGCTGCATCACTCTGCCCTGGACTAATTTGGGGTATTGTACAGCTGCAGTCCTCAGAAGTGCGATAAAAACCTAGATGAGTTGAGTGGGCTCTAAGAAAGGACATTTAGGAGGATCTCAAAAGAGTGGTTTTCAACCATATTCATTATGCCCTTTGCTACTCATGCTTTGCTATTAAATCTTTAATGCTTTTATTCTATCCAATTTATTTTCTTCTGCAATATTGATTTAATCCAACTATTTTTTATTATGTTTCTGAATTTATATTCTTAATAAGATCTATAGCACAAAGCACTCATGGGAAATCTGTTTCTTAGATTTTGTATGTCCCCAAATTTTCTGATTTTTAATTGTATTTTGAATCCTTCTTTCCTGTCTTCCTACCTGATCTCAGTCATTCATAGGGGTGGGCATCTCTGTCCAGTCCAAGACTGCTATGTTGCTTAACACCAGGGGACCCCCTTTGCATTCTATTCTATGTGAATTTTTCTCCTTGAAGTTGGTTTTGATTTTCTTTGCTATCATATAACGTGACTCATTTCTCCTAATATACATCATAATTTCAAAAACTGAAATTAGCTTATTTTGTTAAAGGCTAATTTTCAAAAAGATACATAAAATGAATATACATCAAAAATTTTATTTAACCTCTTAATGAGGAAACTGGTAAGGTACTATGACCAGTTCAGAGGAGACATTAAGGAGCAGAGACATATGCATATTAGATTAAGGAACTTTGAAGCAAGTTTACAAATAGATGGAAAGCAAGTCTACCTACAGAGTAACAATCAGTTGTGCTTCACCAGACACAAACAGTTTGAATTGCTATAGATAAGAATAACTAGAATTATTATTAGTTTTCATCAACTTACATTATGGTAAAATATCTCAAAGATAAAGACATGTAAGGAAATCTGATGGATAAGCTAGAATTTTTTTCTGTTTCATATTCTTTCACAATTTCTCCTGATACCTTTCTCTGAACCATTCTTTGAAGTGTTGCTTGTGTTCTACTCTTATGGAGTCTGAGACGTGGGGGAGAGAGAACTTAGGTCTCCTGACATTCTTACTGACATGTCAAGCATTTATCTGAGGTTCAGTGATACTTTTTGTTTCTCTGGTTTCTTTCTTTCTTTTTTTTTTTTCTCTCTCTCTCTCTCAAATTGATGTGAGCTCTAATACAGAGATATTTCAAGTTTATCTAGATCCATGAGTATCTCGGAGATCCTTTCAGATGTCCATAACATCAAAATTATTTTTTTTCAAAATCATTTTTTAATAAAACCCAGACATTTACCTTTTTCACTGTGTTGATAGACTTTTGCACTCAGGGTACAAAAGTCACACAGTAGATAAAATCTCTGGCACCTAGTGTCATGGCAGTGGCCGCAAATTGTAATCATTTTATTCTATTCCACTATGCACTCAAAGTAAAAGTGAACATAAAAATGCCCTAATGGTACAGAAAATGAATTCAATTTTTAAAATTCCTGATCCTTGTGTATGCAAGGATTAAAAAGTGTATACTTTTTAATGTACTGTGCGTGAAAGGGGAAGTATACATGTAAGCAAGTCTAGTCCAACCAATATATAATAGCTATTATATAGCTATATATATATTATCTATCTATCTATCTATCTATCTATCTATCTATCTATCTATCTATAGAGAGAGAGAGAGGAGAGAGAGAGAGAGAGCACTAATATAGAGCTCTTGGGGAAGAGCTCTTGTGCAATTCTTTTAATTTGCTAGCTGAAGTAGCCCTTATGAAAACATGACTTGAAAAATGACTAAAAGATAATCTTTTTAAAATTGTTATTTTAAAATATATGTACAATATGATTTTGTTCTAATGAAAAAAATCTCTCTATACCTAGCCATCCATTTATCGACCTTTGTATCCGTATTAAAGCTGGCTGTTTCTGAGGGTTGTAATTTCAGCTTGGTTTAGTGCATTTCTGTTGGTATATTTCTTATGAAAACAAAGTCATTATCTTAAATACATATATTCACAAGAATAAATAAAAGAAAAAAGGAAACGGAGACACTCAAAAATATTAAAAATATGTATTTCACAAATATCTGAGAATTCAGTAAACACATAATAAATACACAGTAAGAATTATTTGCTTTGATGATTTTGGGGCAATTGGAAACAAAAGAGAAAAAATGAAAATTGACCCCTGTATTTTCCTATGGCTGCTGTGGCAAAGTACCATAAATTTAGTGTCTTAAAACAAAAAGTTATTTTCTTACAGTTTTGGAGGCCAGAAGTCCAAACTGTGTCTTAGAGGTCTCAAATGAGCTTTGGTTCTTTCTGGAGGCTCTAGACAACAAGCTGCTCCTTGCCTCCTCCAGCTTCTGGCGGCCACTTGCCTTCCTTGGTGTGTAGCCTCATTACGCCAGTCTCCGCCTCTGTAGTCACATAGCCTGACCTCCTCTGTTGTCAAATCTCCCTCTGATTCCCTTTTAGAAGGACACATGTGACTAAGTTTTGACCCAACCAGATAGTTCAGAGTAATCTCATCACAGTCTTTAATTTAATCACACCTGCAAAGAATCGTTTCCCATATAAGGTTAACATCAACAGTTTCCAACAGTTCGGACATGGATATCTTTGGTGGTCATTATCCACCCTATCATGACCCACTGCTTCACATCATGTACAGAAATCGATTCTAGGTAGAGTATAGGTCTTAAAAAAGCTTACAAAAGTTAATCTAACAAAATAACCTTATGATTTTGAGGCAAAGATATCTTAAAGGTGACATAAAAAAAAGCACTAATTACAACCATGAAGGAAACAACAAATAGACTGCTAAAATTAAGACCACGTGTGGCTCAGTTGGTTAAGCATCTGACTCTTGATATCAGTTCACATCATGATCTCACAGTCATGGGATCAAGCCCTGTGTGGAGCTCCAAGCTGAAGGAACTCCAAGCTGAGCGTGGGGCCTCCCTGGAATTCCCTCTGACCCTCCTCAACTTCTGCATGCACCCTCTCTCTCTAAATAAATAAATGAATAAACACTAAAAAAAAAGAATGTTAAATCTATGTACCTATGTGGATGTCTAAAGTTTATTATTAAATTAAAAGAGAAAGGCGAATAGAGCTACTTACCGCATTATTACATTTTTAAAAAATGTTTAAATGTTCATTTATTTTGGAGAGAGAGATGGGATGGGAGGTGGAAAGAGAGAGTGAGACAGAGAATCCAAGCCAGCCTCCATGCTGTCAGCTCAAAGCCTGCTGTAAGACTCGAACCCACAAACTGTGAGATCATGACCTGAGCCACCCAGGCATCCCCATTATTTTATTTTAAAAAATAAAACTAGGGCTATATAAATATTTGTATGTGTATAGATATATGATAGAAAAAATATCTCAAAGTGGGATGAAAGAAGAAGCTGGAGAAATGAGAATTTTTTTTAATTTTTATGAAAGACATAAAAATTAAAATACAAATAATTAACAATAATAAATCAAGTTATATAATACTCAATAGGTACCAGACACTCTTCTTTTATTATTTATTTAATTATTACAGTAAGTAATTACTTCCTTTCCTCATCCCATTACAATATATAAGGAAACTGAGGCTCAGGATAAGATCATCATGCCATCAAGAAACAGAGTCAGAAGTTAATCTCATGTGAGGTTAATGCTGTTAATGGCATGCTAGTCTCGGTCTGTGAAAAATAATATATATTTATGATATAGTATTACTATATTGAACAATTATCCAATAACACTCTTACCATCTCACTAAGTCGAGTCCTAGAGAGCAAAAGATTGTGTTTGTTGAAAGAATAATTGTTACTGAATAAAACATAAATAAAATCACTAATTTCATGTAATGCTTGTTTTTCAAAGGTAGTGAGAAAAATACTGGACAACAGTTTCTTCATTTATTTCTCATGGATGGAAGGCCCACAGTTAAATACGGATGTGGAAGTCCTCAAAATATCTTGACTCTCTCTGCCAATTATAGCATTAACACAAATGTATTCATCCCTATCACAATAAGGTAAGTCCTCCACAGTAGTTCTTTGAATTATACTGCTGAGACTTATTTTGTAAATGTTATTTGTATGTATAATACCCACCCAGATATGAAAAGAAAGACAAAAAGTTCTATCTAAAAGTTGTCTCACCAGTTTTTTCAGTTTGATGGAATAAGCTATAAATTAAACTAAGGTATAATATGATACCATCCAGTGACAATCCAATTATACACAAAATGAATTTCTTTAAAAATACCATGGAGCAGATAAATAGGTTAAAGAGTCATGTGGCCCACTTGAAATTAAGATCTAATGTAATTGTTCAATAAAATATCTATTGAATGAAAATAGCTGTTCAGCAGTTGGGGTGGGTGGCCATTGTCTCTGCACAGAAACAAGAAAATGCAATAGGAAAAAATGAAAATTAAATGGAAATGTCTTTCTGGGGGCATATAAACTTTTGGAAGGCAGTCTTAGAATTAATTCATACTTCAGAATTAGGACATCTCGGAAGAGAGATGACTAAATATGATGGTCTCATCCCAAGGGCATTACTGAACAAAATTTACATGTAACAGCCAAGAATTTAAAATTCTTTACCTGTACAGCAATCTAGTGATAATGGTCTAAAGTTACTCTCTGTCAGTTAAAAATAACATTTTGTGTCCGAGTTTGTATGTTAGATGACAATTGGATACGATAGTGTGATTAGCCAGAATCTTGGCTAACCTGTGAAGGTTTTATAAATCAAATAAGCTTTACCAGAGTCTGTATCAATCTGAAAATAAAATCAAGGAAATTGACAACAATCTGAAAATGTAAACTCCTTAGGCAGGGACAGCATCTTACTCATTTTTAATGTAGTTTGCAAGGCATCTGACAGAAAGATGCTAAGTAAATGTTTGAATGAAGAAATGAGAGTGTCTGGGCTGGGCAGTTCAATTGGTTATGACAAGAAGGCAATAAAATTACCCTAAGGTAATGAAATTAGTATTCACAGATTAGGAAGACCCTTTTGGAAAAGAGAGTTGTGTGCAGACAAAGCAAATTTTCAGAGCAATGGACTGAACTCTTATTTTAATCATCTCTCTTACAAAAGTTGCAGTTGCTCACAAAAAAAAGTGAGATGAGAAGGTGAATAACTTAAAAACCAATTTAGAAGGCATTTCAATTGATAACACCATAATTTTATACAATGTAATAATTTCACACAAACAATGGCACATTTGATCACATATGATGTAATTTCTGGTTTGGTCAAATTTTCTTAAAGGGACACTTTCATTTCTTGCCTTTAAGTAATGAATACTTAACTAGGCAGTCCTCAAACTATTCAGAGCCTTAGGTAGCTTGAAGATGAAACCATCCTTTAAAGAAATATTGATACTTCTAGTAAAACTAAAAACCAAAGACTTTCTAAGGCCTTCAATTATTTTTATCCAAGGGACACCTGGGTTGCTGAGTCAGTTTAGCGTCCAACTTCGGTTCAGATCATGATCTCACGGTTCATGGGTTTGAGCCCTGCGTCGGGATCTGTGCTGACAGCTAGCTTGGAGCCTGGAGCCTGCTTCAGATTCTGTGTCTCCATCTCTCTCTGACCCTCCCCTACTCAAGCTATGTCTGTCTGTCTGCCTGTCTGTCTTTCTCTCTCTCTCTCTCTCTCATACACACACACACACACAAATAAATAAAATATTTTAAAAAATTATTCTTATCTAAAATTTAGAAAGTGAAAAAGAGATACCTCCACTGACACAAAAATGCAAATCTGCTTTGTCTTATACACAGTATCCTGCAAGATAATAGATTACATTAAGGGATGATCCTAGGACTATATTGTATATTAAATATTATATTAATTATTTAAGTTTATATAATATAAATAACAAGTACATACTAGAAAATTCTTCAAGAAGTTTTTCTGTGAAGGTATAAAAAGAGGTAAGGTGGTAACTAGAGGGAGGTGAGGAGTCAAAAGGGAAAAATGTAGGATTAGAAATTTGAGCATGTTTAATTTTGGATTGGACATACTAGTTGAGCGGAAGGTGTTAATACATAGAAAAATAATGAGTAATTGAGAACATAAAGTCCCTTAGAAATATCAAGTGATAAGATAAAACCCACATGAGAGAAGATTCCTACCAAAGGGAAGCAAAAATGGAAATAGAGACTTCTGATCTCTCTCTGTGTACATCCTTTGGTCTATACTACCTTTTGCTTTACCCCTATCTGTTCAGTTGTTTCTGTTACTTTCTCTTTCTGTCTTGCCTTCTCCACTCTTACTTCTCCATCCTTAACTGGGCACAAGTTAAAATTAAAAAGGGTCTTTTGGGGGTTGCCTGGGTAGCTATGTCAGTTGAGCATCCTCCTTTTGATCTCTGCTGAGGTCATGGTTCTCATTTTCAGCCCCACTGACAGTGTAGAGTCTGCTTGGAATTCTCTTCCTCTCTCCTTATCCCACTCTCCCTCTCAAAATAAGTAAACAAACTTTTTTTTTAAAGTATATATTAAAAGGATTTTATTGTACAGCTCCTTCTAACCATCTTAATTATCTCTGACAGGACACTTGTTATGCAATTTCAAAACAAATTTGTCCCTAAAAAGCATCTGAATTAAGTTCCTTTTTAATCACATGAATGTTGTTGGAATTTCTTCTGCATTTAAGGGTCCTTGACAATAAAATACCATAGCATGATTAATAAGAATTTACTTTAAAAAATTAGTGGAAGGACCTCCAAGGTAAACATGTAAAAGATGACTTGGATTTTTACTTTGTTATTAGCCACCAAGGCTAAACATGTATTTCTTCCTACTAAATCTGCATCGTACCTATAGAATAGATGACAGAAGTAGAACAAACTTGAATAAGCCACTTGTAGTGATTGAGGTCAATTCAGTATCAAGATAGAAGTTCTTCTAAATGAAATGGAGCAGAGATCACAGCTCTACAGATAGATTGTAATTCATACTCATGCACAGTTTGTCTTTCATTTCAACAAATTTTGAAAGGGATCACATAGAGAGTCTTAGTTTTCACAAGGGTTATTTTCCTTTGGAGAAGTTCAGAAGAAATTGTCTCACTATATATATATATACTTTTTAAAGTTTCTGAAGTTTAAATTTTTCTGACACCTTTTGTGTCTGTCCTGAACAAAAGCTGACTCTTTATTCAGCATTTTGTTCTGTAAAAAAGTCCTGTGTCCTTTCCTCTAAGTAATTTACTGTGTCATCTGCATATTTTAAATCCACACAGCCCATTCTACCTTCCTTGGATTCCTCAAAGACTTATCCAGAGGTGTAAAATTTTCCATGTATATCTAATTCATACTCCAATGTCTAGTGATTCATTTTGGTTAACAAACGCTTAGGGTAACCAAAACTGAGTGGATATTGACCAAGAATCGCAGAACTACAAATCATGGCCAGGAATTGCAGAACTACTAAAACCACTTTTTAGTAGCTGGCCAGTGTAAAGGAGTGCATGCAGGGTTTAAGATCAATTGAACAGAGGCTGGAAAAGGTACTAATAGTTGGGCAGCAGGAAATCTTAGAACTTGCTCAAATTCAAATGTCACAGAAATCCACTGCAAGCATTTTTAACACAACACCTTGGTAGATATTTGGTCCAGAAAACAAAATAACAAAAACTTCTATTGAGTATTATAAATGGACTGATTTTTACCTCCTGTTTGATCTTATTAATTTCTGTGAGATAAAAACCCCTTGTAGGTGTATGTATATTTGTGTGTGTGTGTGCATGTGTGAGTACATATTTGTGCAAATTACTTTCTTTTCACATTTCCCACAATTGTTTGATTAAGAAAGTAGAAAAAAAGGGGCAACTGGCTAGCTCAATTGGTTTAGCATTCAACTCTTGATTTTGACAGCATGGAGCCTGCTTAGGACTTTCCTCTCCCTCTCTCTCTGTCCCTTGCCTGCTGTCTCACTCTCCTCTCAAAACAAATAAATAAGGGTGCCTGAATGATTCAGTCGGCTAAGTGTCTGACTGGATTTTGGCTCAGGTCATAATCTCACAAGTGCTGAGATGAATCCCTGTGTCTGCCTTGTGTGCTGAAGGCATGGAGCCTGCTTGGGATTCTCTCTCTCTGCTTCTCTCTGCCCCTCCCCGCACTCTCTTGTGCTCTCTCACTCTCTCTCAAAATAAATGAACATTTTAAATAAATAAACATTTTACAGAGTAGAAAATAAATTTATATAATGCAAAACTAGCATTAACCTTAAAGAATCGGAAATAAAAAGGATTCTGAGCAGGACTGCTGTTAACTGTATCAAATGAAGAGATGTAGTGGTAAATAATTTATGACAAATAAGAAAGGAACAAATGACTACTTTTTATAATACCTGTATGTACTTTGTCAATGGCCTTTCAGACAATTCTGCTCAAAATCCGCTTTAAGTGCTTTGCCATTTTTCCCACATAAATTCTCTGTATTACAACTTGTTGCCCTATTGACCTATAACTCCATGACATGTGTCCTGTAACTCCATACTGAGAATGATCAGGAGACTACCCAAGTTTATGTAAGAAGAAAGAATATCCATAATGAATTACTAGTCCTAATTTTAAGAGTAACTCAAAATGCCCTTTATGATTCTGATTTTCTAAAATATAAAAGTTTTTCACATGTTCTTGATAGTTAATATTATATAAACTACGGATTGCATGCCTTTAGTCTTAGCGCCCAGGAACTATGTAATAGCAAGAAGCAGATGGTGACTTTTGAACTGTGCTAAATCTATAAGATATTAGATTTATTCATAAAATGTTGCCATGTCAATATGGAAAGTTTGGCAGGCTTTTCATCTTAAAAAGGTCAAACTTCATCACTTCAATATTAATTTCTGTATCTTTTCCTACAACACTTCCATCTGGTATTTCTGAGAGGAAATGTAGGAAAACTATAGCTAAATATGTGAAATACAGCATAATACTTTATAATTACATTGATTTGTACATAAATACATAAATCTAAACAGTGTTCTTGCTCCCTTATCCATACAT